GTCAAATGTTCAGAGATGAGGTTGTAAGAAGAATCGCAGTCCCAAACACCTCAATTCCTCCTGCTCATTGGATCCCTTTGGCAGGCTTGGGAGCCATGTGGAAAGCAGAAGTACATCAGCACCACGGGACCCATGTCATCCCCAAAAGGGAGAGCCAGAGAGTGTCCTGAGGATTGGCAACATGGGAGCCCTCTCAGAACCAAGACTGTGGCTCTGCCCCCATATTTCCCTGAATTTGGGTTAATGTTTCTTCTTTCCCGGTAACACCACTGGGCCCCCATCACAAAGACCCTGCCCTACTCTCTGCTTCATCAAAACCTTATGCTTGATGCCAGAGGAGAGGTGAGCTGAGGTGTCCTCAAATGTTGGGTCCAATCAAGACCACCCGTGAAATGGGCATGCAGAGACAGAGGTCTCCCCAAGACTGAAACAATCACAATAGTTTTTTTGTAATAATGTGTGCAGCTGCCTTTGTAAAATAAACCGCATGAGCTAAGGAAACATGTGGAGGCTGCATCCCTCATCACAATGCCATCTTGGCAGCACTCCCAATACACTGGGAAATCTCATGGACTTGCGATGTTTGTGCTTGTCACCAGTGCTACAGAGTGATTCACTCCTTTTAAGGAGTTCTTGGCAGGAGGGAAATGGGTGGAAAGGGACCAGAGTGGGAATCTGGAGAAGGAACCAAAATTGTTATAGAAGGATAACGGCCGTAGTAGATGTTGACCTGAGGGTACTGCAAGCAAACAGCTGAACAAGCAGAGTGAGTGTTCACAAAGGAGGTGTGGATGCAGTTTGTATCTACTGCAAAGGGTGAACCTACATTAAATTAGTTCAATGTCTCTGGCAAATAAGATTTAAGGTTAGTCATGTCTCTGACCTCTAGCAAAATGGGAAAGAACTGAAACTAAATATGAAAATGTAATAAAATAAAGGGTATATGATTCCCCATGCCCATATGTAATACAGCTCCAATAATTCCAGCACCACAGCAGTGTTTACTAATATCACCCCATATGCACACACCCCACACACAGAATCCAGGAGCAGTGGGATTCTAGCCTTACAACTATTATCATGGGTGGCAACCTCCAGAACCCTCATCTTCCCATGCACCTGCATTTGACAGCAGGCTAGGATGATGGAAATTGCATATATGTTACTAGTGCTTAGGAGCTGGTGATTTGTATGAACATAGACATTTCCATTTCTAAAATGCAGATACAGCATTGTACGTCATGTGCTGTTTCTGGGCAAGGCATCAATGCCAGCAAATTAGTCTCTCTACAGGGAAGAGGGGGAAGGAATATATGTTTTTCTAATTAAAGTTATGCCAACCTTTGTGAGAAATATGCCTGCTAAACTACTCAATGACAGTCAGTGGTTGGAGAATAAGGCTATCATTTGACATATTAATTATGGATGTTTTGCTCATCAATACCATCAATCAAATCAACCAGCCAATCAACCAACCATCATCATGTTTTACTGTCAGTAGGCAAACTTTTTTTAAAAATGCTTTGGTTTTTCCTCAAGCTATACAAGCACTGTAAGCAGTTGCCATAATGGCATCACCCAGTTTGTTTGAAAAAGACAAAGCCCCAAACATGCATTAACCATGTAAACAAAAGGAAAACAAAACACACACACACACACACACACACACACACACACACACGCTTCTGAGACTTGTTAACTACTATTTTTACAAGTAACACTTCAGATTATTATAGAAGAGAGATTAGAGGAAGAAACTAAGTTTGTTCACTTGACAGCACTCTTTATACAGTTAGTTTAACAGTTTAACTGTTTACCCTGTTTAGTCAGTCAAATAGCTCCATCTGTTGTTTATGTCGTCTTTCATGAAGGGAAGGGAAAAATTTGTCTCTCAAAAATAGGTAATTGTGATTGTAAATTCATAAAATATTGGCAAGGCCACAGGCAGTACCGAACCTGCACCTAATTTTGACTGGGTGTAAACAGATTAGGTTTCAAGAATAGAAGTAATCCATTTGTAAACGTAAGGCCTTGGCTACACTTGCGAGTTACAGCGCTGTAAAGCCTCCCCCAGCGCTGTAACTCACTCCCTGTCCACACCGGCAGGGCACTTGCAGCGCTGTATCTCCCTGGGTACACCGCTGCAGGTACTCCACCTCCCCGAGAAGCATAAGAGATACAGCGGAGTGGCTACGACTCTCCCCTGTGAGTGTGTGCCAGGAATCAACCTGCAGCGCTGTTCTGATCACCTTGTCAAGTGGCCAATCCTCTCCATTGTTGTGACCGGCTGCAGGAATGCGGAAGTGCCGGTTTCAAAGCTCGTACCACAGAGAAAAAGCAAACAGTTCGCTGTTTGCTTTGAATGAGTGAATGAATAAGCAGGGGGCCGGGAGTTCGGAACTTGCAAAATAGAGAGCTGACACGCTCCAAAAAGCACTCTCTCTCCCCCCACACTCCCTGTCACACTCCACCTCACCCCCCCCCAGTTTTGAAAAGCACGTTGCAGCCACATGAATGCTGGGATAGCTGCCCATAATGCACCGCTCCCAACACAGCTGCAAATGTTGCAAGTGTGGCCACGCCACTGCACTGGCAGCTGTCAGTGTGGACAGATTGCAGCACTTTCCCTACTCAGCTGTACGAAGACAGGTTTACCTCACAGCACCATACAGCTGCAAGTGTAGCCAAGGCCTAAGCTATGTCTATACTACAGGTGCTACAGCAGCATAGCTGCTGCCATACTGCTGTAGTACAGACACTTGTTTCAGCAACGGAAGGGGTTTTTCCATCGCTGTAATTAATCCACCCCGACAGGTGGTAGCTAGGTCAATGAAAAACTTCTTCCATCGACCTAGCATTGTCCAGACAGGGGCTTAGATAGGCTTAATTACATCTCGCATGGGTGTGAATTTTTCAATCCTTGAGCAACATAGCTAGGTTGACCTAAATTTTAGGTGTAGACCAAGTGCTACTAATAAAGTGTCTTACTAATCCACACTGTGGAGTGAAAAATTGTTTTAATGCTGGTGCCTACATTTTGCCTCTATGCTTCCCAGTTACGCTGATTACAGTTGCTTTGTTCAAGCAGCAATTGATTTTTGTATGCCCAAATAGTGTATCAAGTAGTTAGTAACAATGTGTGTGCAAGGGATTCTTGCTTTGGTGTTTGTCTTTTGGGTTACCAAAGACAACCAACTTTCTGTTCAGTAGGACTCCTTTTTTCCATCCGCAGAACTGGAAGTGCTAATAGCTTAAAGCTGCATTATGTACTTCAAAGTAGTTTGTCAAACAGAAGTTGCAAAGAGTGATAGAGAAGCTGTGTAGAATTAAAGTAACTTTTAAAGTCAAACAAAATGTTCAGTGACCTTGCCTCCGTCTGGAAAATGCATCACTTCTATGTCAAGCAGTTTGTTAAAAACTGATACAGAATAAACCATTACAAGTCAAAAATTTAAAAAAAAATTCCTTCTGCATCTGGTGGGCAGGATTAGTGGTGCCATTTTCTTTTCTGAACGGACAAGCTAAAGCCTATCTTGGGGAAAAGGTTCATTCACTAAAGGGCTTGATCCTGCAAGGCGCCAAGCATTATGGCATGATCCAGCAAAACACTTAAACAGGGGCTTAGTTTTAAGTACTTGAATAGTTCTACTGAAGTCAATGGGATTACTCACATGCTTGAAGTTAGCACATGCTTACACATTTTGCTGCATCACATCAGAGTGCTCAGCACCTGGAGGGATCAAGTCCAAAAGCTGTAAATGCCATCTCCAAAATAATGGATTCATGGCATTATATTGTATGTTAAAAGTGACAAGTTTGTTCTCTATCTTAACTGAGAAAAGATGACAATATTTTGACAAAATAAAAAGCTAGTTTCTAAACTAGAAATGGAAAATAAATCTTTCCAAAGCGATTTATAGGTCTCCTCCTCCATAGACTAACTGTAATGTTTAAAATGCTGAGACATGTCAATATTCTTATTGTTTTTTGCGGAGAAGGTGCAAAAGGCTTGAGGATGTTCTTCACCTCACCCTATGGAAGGCAGTATTTTCCCCTCTGCCTGAACTCATTCACAGCCACCGTCCTTCCAGCTAGGGAGGACTGCACTAGACGCCATTCAGACTTATCAAATATTTGTATTTAACTGGCCAGAGACATCTAACTGGACAAAATGTAATTAATGAATGGAGGGCTGATTCTGCCACCTTTACTCACATTGAGCAGTTGCACTGAAGCCAGTGGGAATCCTTGCAGAGGAAAACAGTACTCCGTTTGAGTGAGAGTGGTCCTCAGGCTGGCACGTGTTCAGGAAGCCAGGGTTACACCCTTCCTCTCACAAAAAGTTGTATGTGAACTTTAAAGTGGTCAGGACCTTAGTTTTACATCTCTTGTGAAATACAAGACCTGCAGCAAAACAATATCCTTCCCTTACCCCAAACTTCCCAACCCCAGGATCATTCAAGGGCACCGATTCAGTACTAGCTCAGGCTACGTCTATACTTCATGCCACTGATGGCAGCTACATGCCACAGTAAAAAGCAAGCGGCATCCATGCTGCCGTGTGTAGCTACATGTGTCAGTTAAAGGCTCTGGCAGTGGGAAGTAAGTGGGGAAAGGCTGAGCCTGAGCGTTATTTCCCTGCTGCCCCCCTCCCCACTGTCAGAGTCTTTTCTTGTGGCGGGGAAAGGCTCCAACAGCGGGAGGCAATGGGACACTATACTGCTAAAAATAGCAGAGTAGATGGGGAGGCACAGTCTGGATGAGTAGAGAGAGGTGTAGGGTTTGTACTCACTCTACTCATCTAAGCTTACCTTGTGCTAGGGGGGCTACCCATGTCTATTTGCTGACTCAGAAGGATGAGTGCCAGCTATTTAATCACCAGTACCCCTTCCTACAATGCTTGGATTTTCCTTGGGAGTTTTCCCATGAAGGTATTGGCTAGGCATGACTGTACTTAGTTTTGTATAAGCAGACTTTACAGTCTAACAAAAGTGCTTTACCTCCAGGAGCCAGGGTTTTAGTTTTCTGTCCAGCAGGATATCAAATCCCAGTACTTCAAAGCAGACACTGTCACTTCCGGGAGCTTGGCCTGGTCTGCACATACGATAAGCATGAAGGACATGTGGCTCTGCTACTATGAGAGTCTTCACCACTAGTTCCTGTGGGGATTTTTCACAAAGTTACATTAGAACTGCAGGGAATGATATCAGCATATTTTGAGATAAATCATAATCAAGTTTTTTTCATATTCAAGTCTTCTAATACATTCATGACAAGAGGAATTGTCTAGATCTGTCATCTGTGGTTACGAAAAGGTTGAACAAATGATTGCTATATTTTTAAAGCGGTCTGAGGGAATTATATAAACAAATCCATTTTAAGGGATTTAAGCATAAATTTAGCCCTTTGTTTAAGCAGATATTGAAAATAGCATTAAGTCTAATTTTGCCCTGCCTTATATCTTGGGCAACTCTAGTCTTATTAAGGGTTACATGACATATAGGTCAGGGCAGAGTTTTCTCCAGATTTATCAATATCTCCCCTGCTATTCTTATTGCAACTAATTCACTATGTCCTACATTGTCTAGCAAAATGACTTCAATGCTAACCTCGCAGAAAAAAGTCTCTCCATAAAGAAGGCTAATTCAGTCTGAAAGCCGTCCTACTTATAAGCCTTAAAAAAAAAATTTAAAACAACAGTTTGCCCTTAGCACCACTTTACAGTATGTGCTTTGAGATGTGCATTATTGAGAGCTCGGATTAATAACGCTGCAATACACATGGTGGTTTCCAAGCAAAGTCTAGAGATGACAGGTGACATTAATTTTCTAAATTGATATGCTGTATATACATAAATAATTAATTGCACATTAGTTTTATCTTACTGAAATATCACTCCAGAATTTGGAAACATCAAGGTGATTTGTTTGTAGAAACTCAGTAAACCATTTTATGGACCGTTTACTGCCTTTATCTTCTGTTTCATCCCGTTCAAAGTGCTCATTATGTTTATTCACAGAGTAGTTGGTTAGATGCATATACAACTGGCTCTGCAAGCAGGGAAAGGTAACAGGTATCTCATAAATACGGATCCAGAATATGTGGTTCAAAATAATTTAAAAAGAAAACCCACGTAACTGAAATAAAGCCTTTTAATGTTATATAAACCATGACATACTGTAATATTTATTTTATTTCTATTAAATATATGATTCATATTTTGAGTTTCACATCACATTTATTGAAATAAACCCACAGTACAACTATCATTATATGAAGCTCAAGTATAATTAGCTCTTGGGAAGACTTTATATACTGAATGTTACAGCCGTGATAAAGCAAAGAACTTAAGCATATGCTTAAATTTAAGCCAACTGAAGTCAATGGGACTACTTAGAATAAGATTACCTGCTTTGCTGGACTGGGGCCTATGTGTGTTGCCAATCTTTACATGTCCATACATAAACAATAACTAGAGACAGGGCCGACTCTACCATTTTTGCCGCCCCAAGCAAAGAGAAAAAAAAGCCGCTCGGACTGCCGCCGCCCGAACTGCAGAAGCAAAAAAAAAGGTGTCCAGACTGTGCCACCCCAAGAACGGACGGAATGCCGCTCCTTAGCATGTGCCGCCCCAGGCACGTGCTTCCTCCGCTGACGCCTGGAGCTGGCCCTGACTAGAGAAAAGTATCTACAGAGCAGTTAACATACATCCCCACTATCAGAGGTGTCTGTAGACCAGGAAAATGCTACTAAGTACTTGGCCACCTGTCTCATTCTGAGACAATCCCCCTTTCAGTTTTCACTGTACTCTGTTTATGAGAAATGTTCTCATGATGAAGATCCGGTTTATCGCCTTAAAAATATCTACTACTCATGAGCTCTATTCCCTCACCCTTGCAGTTGTCAGTGAGGCTCAGGATTGGCGGCTGGTACCCAGACATTAGAGGCACCGAAGTTCCAAGGCAGAACATCAATAACATGTAGCCCAATAATATTTGTTTTTATTTTATATGGAAAAATGCAAACAGGAGTTGATTTGTGTTTTCAATTGTGTTTTGCCATTGAAAATGGAATTGAACTGATCAGACAGAGCTTGAGGGGGATACTAGGCGCACAGAAGATTAACTAGGAGATAAAACATTGAATAAAAGCAAAACCTGCTTTCAAAAGAAGGACACAAATTCGAGGGTATTTTCAAAGTAACATTTTTGATGGTTAACAGAACTTGTTTCCTGAGGAACCATTTTAACGAGCCTAAATTTAACAATATATCGCTTTTCCTTTAAAGGCCATTTTATAAGTCACTGATCTATGTGCATGTTCTTCCAATGTAAGCATTAATCAGCCTTACTGCTGCACTACCACACAATCTGTCTTACCTTATCGCTTAATCGAGGGCCAGTAGATGTTGCTACAATCTTTCTGCCCCAATTCCATACTGATTTGATAGAAAGGAGACAATTCAAGCTCTCCCCTGTCATACTGTTTATTTCACCGCAGTTACTTTTATTTGAAAAATTTAATAGCCTAAATTCAGGATAGCTGACAACATACTGGGTTAACACTATACAAATTGGCTTTCTGCTATGGTTTCTAATTTTTGTTATGAGAATCAGATCAAAGTCCATAGTCTTGACTAGCCACAGATGTCATCTTTCCATAAAATGCCAACTATCCTAAGTTAATTGTTTTGCAGATTACGAAGAAATAAAAGCCTTTTCAGAACATTAGTTAAATTGTTTAACAATCTTCGCTCTAAAAATGTCTGGATTTTTAGATTATTAGAAATGAGCCAGGCCACTCAAAAGCACTTCAAGTAATTGATGGATTATGGCATCAGCAGATTTCAGAAAAGAGCAAAGAGTTGTTTTATAAGGTCCAAACTAAAGGAAAAAAAGTCCTTGCATGATAACAATGCTAGAAAAGAGAATGCTGAAGTAGGCAGTACCAAAAGAACTCTGACTGTTCTCCACCTCACTTGCCCAGTCACAAAGCATATTTCAGTGATATTGGTGGCATATTAATGCAAACAATATTCAAGGCAACTAGTTCTGAATATAAATTTTGATAATTACATGCAAGAGACGAGGGCAGCTTGATTTACTGATGAATATTAACAGAAGCAATGCATAAAGTAACTTCATGCAGCATCTTATAAGAAATCATATAGCCAATGCCTTAGCATTTGAAAATAGTATCAGGAGATGAAATGTGAGATAGATCACCAACTGACAAACAAAATATTAAGGGCACTGCTATTGTTGTAAATAAAATACTAAGGGCACTACTTCCTTAGCAATGGTCGCTGAAGGTACAATGCCTGCAGAGGCTAGGAACAGGGATAATGTCTCCCAACAGACTGAGACAAGTGCAGTTACTGCAGATACAATATGTGCTCTTCCCATTGCAATCCTAGGGCAGAGGGGCAGTGCCAGGATTATGATCCATCACACATAAGCACTGGTGGCAGCAGCTGTACATCCCAGTTTTAACATCAGAGCACACTGGCTGCCAAATTATAACTGTGTCCTCCACCAGAGTAGTGAGAGGGGAGTAGGGGAAGGAGGGCAGGGAGGGAAAAAAGACTCTCCGAACGCACTAGTACCCCAGCAAACCATACTGAGACAGCCATAATTTAGCCCATGAAATGTGCATGGGTGTGGAATAGGCAGGACCGGCTCTAGGTTTTTTGCTGCCCCAAGCAAAAAATGTTTTAGCTGCCCCCCACCCCAGCCCTGGGCTCTTCCCCCCCACCCCAACTGCACCCTCCTGCCGCCCCAGCCCTGGGTCACTGGTAACTCGCACCCATGGCGGGTCATTCAGCAGGAATTTTGGATGTTCACAGAACACAGACAGGATTGGTTCCCATATGGTTACAGAACTGCAGTAAAGTGGAACAATTTTCATCTTGTGTGATTGAAGGATATCTGGATGCATATTATAAGACTGTCCTACATAAATGAGGAAAAGTTGAGGTGCCTTTATTATTCTTTTGTTCCATTCTTTGTTTCTATGGGGAATTTGCCAATGCAATATCACTGTCTTCCTTTTAAACAAATAAAACTAAAACTGGCTGTTGAAAATAGCAATTCCAGTCCTAATAACCCCTGGGAAGCATTTCTTGCTCAATTTATTCTACTTTTTCTACAGCAAGTTACAGTGGATCAGTATATTTGATTTGGGAGAAATGAAGTAACAGCTGCCCAAATTGAGCTTGAGCACTCTTGAATTTTGAGGGTGTTCAAATCTGGAAGGCAGGTGCTAGATTCCCTTTCTGAATATTAGCTAAATCTGGAAAAGAAAAGTCAATTTCTGCTTCCATGGCTCAGAAGTGTAAATCCTCCTATGTGCCTGGTACTGTATCTACAGCTGCCCAGTCTTGTAGAGCCTCCCCTCCCTTACTTTTCATTTTAAATTCTAGTGGGATCTCCCTTGCTAGGCTTCAGATAGAGAGGTGCACTGTCCATTTAGTCCACCCAATTCTTTCTTTGGGGGAGAGCCCAGGGCTGGGGTGACAGGAGGTGCGGGGGGGGGGGAAGAGCCCAGGGCTGGGGTGGCAGGACATGCGGGTGGGGGGAGAGCCCAGGGCTGGTGCAGCAGGGGGGTGCAGGTGGGGGCCAGAGCTGGGGCAGCAGGGGGTGTGGGCAGGGGAGAGTCCAGGGCTGGGGAAACACAGGGGTGTGGGGGAAGCCCAGGGCTGGGGTGGGGGGCGGCAAAAAACCTAGAGCTGGCTCTGTCCCTACCATTCACAGCAAGCTGCAGCATGAGGTTTCAGTTCCACACTCCTTCCTCCTCCCTTTCCTGTTAATTGTGGTGGAGGGAATGCTGAGAAATGTAGTTCTTTCCCTGCTCCAGGGCTGACTCTATAGGCAGGGAGCTAACCAAGGAACTACAGCTCCCAGGGCCCCCTGTTGGTTCTCGGCTCCCATGCTGGATTCTTGCGCCCTTGCAAATTTGCTGCCCCAAGCAACTGCTTGCTTTGCTGGTGTCTAGAGCCGGCCCTGGGAATAGGGAAGCTGGCATGACAGCAGGTTCCCTATGCAACAGAGTAGTGCAAGAACTGAAATCACTTATACCTGGGATGCCTCAAAATTACTTGCTTCTCAGTAGCCACTCGTATTCTGTTCTGTGTCACACTGAGAGGGCCCGAATACTGCTACCTGTTCACTTGGAGACACAATACAGTGAGTAGTAGAATTAATGTGTGTCTCTCATGATTTGGTGCGTTCCTCCAAGTGTGCAGGTGGTCTTCTACTGTCTCACTGTAAAGCAGCCAAATATATATTTCCACAAGCAGGTACATGTGAAGTGGCTGTTGCTACTGGGCTCTGCTGTTCACTCCTCTCTTCCACTGTAGGAACCATTCCCCTGTAGACCATTGGTCCTGATAATACTTCCCCTAAACCCACAGTAACCATCCCTCACTTGCAGTGATTCTGACTCCTGACTGCAATGGCAACCGTTATCAGCCCACGAACCAGCTCTCATTTTCTGATCCCTCTTCTGCACAGCTTCCCAGACCCCTGGCTGACACACTGGAGGGATTGATTCTGTGCCCTTTCAAATCAAAACTCACAAATTTCCCTGATGCAGGATAAGGCAAGAGATGCCCCTTTCTCACCACCAAAGACAAAGTATTGAATAAATATAAATTCAATATAACAGTCATTGATGGGATCCACTTTAGTTCTCCCTGGTCTAGGTTTGAAGGTTAATAATTGTTGCCTTTTTCTCTCTTTTTGGAAATAAACGTCTTTTGGAGACAACAGAAGAAGCAGATTAGTTTGAAGATTATTATATAAGCAATGATATGTCATCATGTTCTAGCACTGCAGAGCCAATAATGAGTTAAATGTCTTGAAGGCTGTCTTTTATTTTAACTTCTCATTTACATTCTAAACTTTAAGCTAACAACGGAAATGTCCTGCCTAGCAAATATAAAACTAATTCTGGATTTGAAAACCTAATTTAAATATGGACATTTGTTTTCCCTTCTCCAAATGCTGCTAATCTTGCTATGTATCTGACATTCATTCAATCATCCCCTTAGAAAATATTTAGTGCTATTATTGCAAGTGATACATTGGGACTAGCATCCACTTACCAAATTAGAGTCACTGGGAGGATGGTATTTCTCTGTGCCCATTCTCACAAGTCCATCATGATATAAAAATATTTTTAATGGATCACAGGATGTTACCAGAATATACACTCGTAAATCAAACTTGTAACCTTCCATAAGAAATGGTTTGTCAAGGTATTCCTGAACAATCAAGTGATCCTGAGCTTGTAGTTTTTCTCCATTTCTTATCAGAGAGATTCTGTTTAAAACAAAGGTTAATTTAAAACACTGAAATTTGACACAACTCTTTTAAGTACATTTTCATAGCTGACCAGCCAGAGAACCATCTTAATTCCATTATCTATGTGGATATTGTGTATCTTATTTGCATAGTACAGAAAAATGCCATTCACTTACGTGCTTTTATTGCTTCCTGCACTTGACAGTGCTACAATGGGATGAAGAAAATCAATGCACCATTTAAAAATAACTTTCTGCTCCTATTCATCCGACAAGTTGGAATAATGGGTTTCCCTCTGCTGTTCAGAAATGCTAGGCAGAGTGACCAGCCACTGGCTTTTAAGATTATTTCTTGCCATGCAGCTCTAGAGACTGGCTCCTATACTTTCTTCAGCTCATCTTCTGCCCCAGATCCAGGATTCAGTGCCACTTCACTGCCGAACTGATTTCAATGGGGCTACTTGCAGAGTAAATAGGAGTACAGGTGGCAGAATCAACCCCGATTTTTATTGTTTCATTTCATATGTTTCACATAACCAAGTGGCTGAGCTAATTGATATTATGAACTCCGGGACATTAAAATCTATGTTAAAAATACTAAAGTTTGGAGTTAAGGTAACAAAGCTGTGAAAATTCAGAGTTGAGACTTGAACCTGATATACTTATCTCACCTGGTTGTTCCTGTAACATCCCATCCCATAGATACAAGAGCATATTGCCTATATGTATTTTCACAAAAGGAATCCTGATCTCAAGTCCTATTTGAGCCCCTTATCAGCAAAGGCTTTCTGTAACACGGAAAACAAAGTTCCCCTTTTACCATTTCCATTTAGCCTTCTATCTCAGCTGCTATTGGTCTGTAGGCCTTTGTCAAAATGTGAGCCTTCTTATACGGACACTACTATTCACATATTATTCACACTACTGTTCACATACTTTTGCTACCAGAGTTTCCAGGTAATGACAGTAATCGGGATAAGAGACACAAAAGTTAAAATTTAATCTCAAAAACTGCCCATTATTTGGAAAATATTTTTTTAAACATTTCACCTTTGAATAGATTATTCATGTTATCTAAACAATCGACCTACCCATGCCCCATTGCACCATTAGCTGGTTTGACTATAAACGTTTTCTGTCTTCGCTTCTTCTTCAGTTCCTTTACATAGTTCTGAAATTGCATATATTCCGCAGGGAAGATCCATGTTCGAGGAATAAAACTATACTCCTGAGGCTGAGACTTGATCATTCTGCAAAAAGGAAAACTGAGTTTAGAAACCTTTTTCAACCTTCAAGTTTAAACCTGTTACACTTCAGTCTACAGGACTAAATTGTATTCTGAATGGGGACTCTGAAAAGCAACTTTGACAAAATAGAGTATCAAGAAAACAAGACCAAAACAGTTAAGAATAGTTGTCTATGATGCATTAATATGCAAACAATCAGAACTATAAAAAGGGCTATATTGCATTTTTGCATATCCTCATGCATGGATTCATTTCTCCAAAAGATGTGGCTCAATTAATAAAAATCCTTGGTGATATGCTATCCTTCCTATATTAAAGCGTACAATGTGATTAAGATATATAGCAGTTCATAGATCCTTCTCCCCTTGGCAGAGACATCCTCCTAATTATCACATTTTGGTGGCAAAATTTTGGCCATATTTTATCCCCAGTGCACTGGTTTAATTTCATTTTTGTGCCAGTCTGGGATGCTATCATGGTATGTTTATACTGAAGATACTCATAAGAATACATATTGACAATTGTGTGTGTTTGGGTGGCAAAGAGGGGAAGGAGGGAGAGTTCATATATTACCGGTACATATATTAGTGAAATAAAGGTCAGAAGGAACCAAAAGACCTAAATTCATGTCTGCAGGATGGAGGAAGAAGTGTGGGTGGTGACAGGGAAGAAAGAGGACCCAGACCACAAGAAGTTTATGGCAGCATTTCCCAAACTGGAAATTATGACACCCAAAAGAGGATACAAAATGGTTCCAGGAAGTCATGAGACATTGAAGGAAAATGAAGGGGAAAGAAAAAAATGCAAGAAAGCCATCACTAGAAGGTTCCACCAGTTCACACTGCAAGTTGACATCTGAAAAGTGTGAATGTGCAGGGGCCACTCAAAGAAGATTTGGGTGTTTCAAAAGTAAATTGGCAGCAGTATATGACCCAAACTGATTTTTTTAAAAATAAATATAACATTGTGCAGTGAATTCTCTAACTGATTACAGATTTAGTTATACTCTTACTCTGCCAATGAAAGCAATAAGGTCAGGATGCCTTGGATGTAAGTGAACTTAAAGTATCATTTCAGTCCAACTATATGAGACCATGAGAGACTTCTAATTGTCTCTTGGTAACAGAAATGACAGAATTACCAAGCACATCTGCAAGACTAGGACTGGAGCCAAAATACTAAAAATATTGGTACAATAGACACACTGTCACTGAATCCACTGGCTAAGTATACAACAAACATTACAGAAACCTGCTGCATTCTCCTTTCCCTCCATATTTACTCCTATGTATCTCTACACACATCTTCACTGTGTAGAGATATACAAGTGGGGAGAGGGATAGCTCAGTGGTTTGCGCATGGGCCTGCTAAACCCAGGGTTGTGAGTTCAATCTTTTAGGGGGCCATTTAGGCATCTGGGGCAAAAATCTGTCTGGGGATTGGTCCTGCTTTGATCCTAGATGACCTCCTGAGGTCCCCTCCAACCCTGATATTCTATGCAATGCAATTGTTAGAGTGAACCAATTTCAAATATATTTATACAGCATATGATGCTACGCACAACAGTTTAGAACTTTAATATCTTCATCTTTTTTTTCTTTAATTGTGCACTGCCAATAAGTACAAAACCCCTACAGCATTTAATAAAAGAATATTTGTAATAAAAAGTTTGCACTCCTATAGGGAATTTCATCTGAACATGTCAAAGCACTAGCGCATATAGTATGCAAGTTTGGTCCATTATTTAGGTTTTATGAGGGCTAACTATCAGTATTTTTCTCATGGGAGGTATTATACTGATTTTACAGATGGGCAAACTGAAGCAAGAGGTTAAGTGATTTGCCCAAAGTCAGTAACTAAGCTTAGAATAGAAACCTTCAAGAGACTATACGTAGGAACCTTTTCAGAGAATTGCATGGGGTACACTCAACTGCATATAACTCACAATGGTGTTTGAGAGACTCGTGTGATTAAATCCCTAAACAATGCACTATGTTCTTCGGAACCTTAATATACAATTACCATCTTTTTTCTCTGTGTTTATGAGCAACATATTTAGCAAAACGTGCTACCAGATTAATATGTTGCTTTTTCTATTTGTGGCTAAGCTCCAAGCCTTTATGTTATTGTGAGGATAAAGTTTTATTCTAAAGCTTTTCTCCTCCGCTTTATTTACTTGCTTGCTTGTTTCCTTTAAAGAAAGGATTTAGAGATAATACTGTGTTCTGGACATTTGCTGCTTCTATTTTCAAAATACAGTACTCTATTTCTGCTTGCCCTGGTGCCCCATTGTCTCAACAGAATACAAGAGCAGTATTTGTATTGTATTGCAAGCGTGACTGTCATTGAAAGAACTGCATAATAGAGCAAAGAAAACAATTTAAAAAAAAAAACTGAGCAACATTCCAGCGCACTCTTGAAAAAAGGTAAGCAGAGCTGAGAGGTAAGATCATAAACAAAAGCAGTTGTGCATCATTCCATCCTACAATTAAGGAAACAAGGGAATAGAAGAGACTGTATGCAGCAGAAAAGCAAGAGACCAGAAATAAGAATTCTGTACTATTATATACATAGTCACAAATATTAACACAGAAGAATAGCAATCAGGAAGCAAAGCCTCCACTCTATATATTGTAGTATTCCCAGCCATATCTCACAACTCCCTTTAACTTTAGATACAGATTTGCCTCTTTCACAAAATGGTCTTGAGGTTTGGCACTTTGATTACTGTAAATTATTAAGATTAAATGTTGACTTACAATACTGAGGTCATGGAAAACAGGCTAGGTAAATAGAATTACAGCAGGGATTAATTTCAGTAAAGTTCACCAGAGATGTATTTGACCCAAAAATATTTCTATTTAAGAAATTGAGCCCACATTATTTACAGTTTCTTGTAGCATTGTCACAGACATCATTTTGAGACTGTGTCCCACACTTGGACTTCAGCAGGTTGAGACACAAGTTCTCAGCCTGAACCTGATAATATACATGATAACCTGAGCACTTTATTGCTCTGCACATTTTTTTAAAATCTCAGACACGAAGTAGTATGACTAACATAAAACATTGCCCATCATGCTGACCAATACTGCTTCATTGTATTCTGTCTGCTTTTTGTTTTACACTTAGATTGTAAACCCTTCAAAGCAGAGACCATCTTTTTGTTCTGTGATGGTATAGCCTCTAGTCCAGTGGGTCCTGATCCATGACTAGGGCTCCTAGGTGCTTTGGTAATGCAAATAAATAATAGTATGCTGTGTGTGCGCACGCGCATGTAAAAATAGGAACACATGTAAATTTCCATGAAGAAAACAGACATAGTGTAGGTCAAATTTTAGGTCTAAAGATTAATAGTACACTGTATTTTTAAATTATTTTGAACTAATTTACTGTACATATATCAATATATTCACAAACCTTTCTGTACACATTTGGAAAGCTCTTCTTTATCTTAGTAACAGGCTGATTAATCACCATTTAATATTATTTTCTTATAGGTTATACTCATTGGGCCAGATCCTCAGACAGCATAAATCATTGTAGCTTCACTGATTTCAATGGAGCAGTGCCAATTTACACTGAGTCTCTATTCAGTACCTTGTATGTTTTTCAATAATGAAAAAAAAACCAACTGACATTTTAGAAGATAGTCCACAGAAGGGAAGGACTAGTTTCTTAATAAGATACTTTACATTTATGTATTTGATATACATATATCATGATACAGAGAACTGCTTGTTATTCTAAATAGATAATACATTATTAAGTTATTATACATCAATATATTTGAATACTTTGTCCCCACTACTCCTGTTTCTGTTGCTAAATCATGTATGTGCAAGTGTGCTTAAAGCACGTGTTATAATACATGTAAGGCCCCAATCTTGCCTTGTGTGGTGTGTGGACAGACTACTGTGCATTTGTGGAGCCACAATGAAGTAAACAGGACAGGCACAGAAGTCTACCTATGTGCTACAGCATGCAGGATTGGGGCCAACACTACTGAGAACCTCAGAAATGATTTCATGGCTCTGTTATTGTACCCTGTAGAAATGAACAGTTCTCATAAGAGACAATTCAATATTGTACAACATCAAAAAAACATGTTTGGAATGCAGATTTAAATTCAGTCACTTTTCAAACACCATTCCTAGATTAGTAAGAAGTACATTACTTGGTCATGTTTCTTGCTAAGAAATCCTTCCTACAGATCTCTCCCATTCCTGGAAAATGGTTGATTCTCTGGAAAAAAAAATGTGAATGTTGGTATTTGTATGCGTTTCTATCACAAATATTATAGACAAACATTTCAAACAGTCAATTAAATTAGTATCAGATTACACATTAATTGGTAAAGACTTTCTAAATTATATTCGATATCCTAGAGAGTACTTCAGTGGTTCTCAAAGCCGGTCTGCCGCTTGTTCAGGGAAAGCCCCTGGCGGGCTGGGACAGTTTGGGTAGTCTATACTTACTTCCTGGTCCGGATGTAAGCGATCGATCTTCTGGGATCGATTTATCGCGTCTTGTCTAGACGTGATAAATCGATCCCGGAAGTGCTTGCCGTCGACGCCGGTACTCCAGCTCAGCGAGAGGAGTATGCGGCATCGACGGGGGAGCCTGCCTGCAGCGTCTGGACCCACGGTAAGTTCGGACGAAGGTACTTCGAATTCAGCTACGTTATTAACGTAGCTGAATTTGCGTACCTTAGTCCGAAGTGGGGGGTTAGTGTGGACCAGGCCTTTGTTTACCTGCCGCGTCTGCAGGTTCGGCCGATCGCGGTTTGCCGCTCCAGGCCAATGAGGGTGGCAGGAAGCGGTGGCCAGCACATCCCTTGGCCCGCGCCGCTTCCCGCAGCCCCCATTGGCCTGGAGCAGCAAACCGCGGCCAATGGGAGCCGCGATCGGCCGAACCTGCGGACGCGGCTGGTAAACAAACCAGCCCGGCCCACCAGGGGCTTTCCCTGAACAAGTGGCGGACCGGCTTTGAGATGTTATGGGCTGCATTCTCCTTTCCCTCCAGATTTACTCCTATGTATCTCTACTGACTTCAGGGCAAGTGAGAGGAGAATCAGATCCTTTTACTCAGAGAGCTATATGTAAACAAATACAGTTGTCACAAACTAATGTTAAAAAGGAAGGAGATGACTTACAGACAAATACTAGGGAGAGGGGCTCTGATTATCTAACAATATACAAGCTCATATCCAATTTATCCTATAAATGTTTCTGTATTTTGAATAAAACACTCCATCTATGATCACTCACAACAGGCCACTGGCAAGCAGAAGCACTCCTAAAACACGAAAGATGTTGACACTAAAGGCCAAGTGATACAGAAACTTCATACTGGGAAAACAAGATAGAAATTTAAAATCCTTAGTATCAAAATATTTGGTGCAGCTGGTGTTTCTGCCTTCTAGTCTTGTGATGGGTTCAACTGACCCAGGAATACCAAGTGATTAATTCATGACTTCAGAATGGAAGGTTTTTAAAAAAAACTGATTCAGAAACATTAAGTATGCTGCATGTTACCTGGTAGTTTCGGAGCTCAGCAATCTTGTCTTGTTGCACAGCAGAATCACTCCATATGAGATTAGCAGTCTCATCTTCATCTCTTGTCTTCACAAACCCCAGCTCATCTATTACTAAACGAACTACACAAAAGTGATACATTTAAATGATATTTTGAAGTGAACCTTCCAAATGTAAAATAGAATATTAATTTTCAGTACAAATTCACCCTTGGCCACAGAACAATATTAGCATACAAGCTAATGGAGTTCATATTGTTCAATTTATGATAATTTGGACAGTCTCCATCTGTCTATTGAATAACTAATTATAGTGTCATTACTGCTTGTACTGTAGCTGGGAGCAAAGTGCAATCTGCAGTGGGAACTGCAAAGAGCTTCTAAATTGTCCAAAAATAGTTTAGTAACAATCCACTTAGACTCAAATGGATTTTAGACTATCTTTGTTATTACATATGTTAATTTTACAGCAACAATGACTATAGGTGCCACTGAAGCCAGCAGACAAGGATGCCCCTTAAGTCAAGGGTCTAATACTTACAAATACAAATTGATGCATTGTTCTAATGTAAAAAAAATAAGTCTAAGGATGTGCCACACAAGTAATGTTGCAGGAGAAGAGATTTCCCCGAGTGTAAGTACGATTTCTTTAAAAACTGTTCATTCAGCAATCTGCATAATAGACTTGCTCTGATATCTTCTCTCCAGAAGGGGACTGTCCAGTTTCTGGATTTGACGCTTTCCCCATGTGACAAAACTTGGCCTAGTGGCCAAAGCTCCAGCTGAGTATTTGCATGGCCATCAAAAGTCTATATAACTCACTTGAGATTAGAAACATTCAATCATTTCAACAGCCAAAGTCCTTAACTAATTAAAACCATACAAGGCAATCTATAGAAAATTCTATAGAAGGTTGTGTATTGCTATGTCAACATTTTACAGAGACTGGATTTACAGGTAGGGAGCTTTAAAGAGCTTCCTGCTCATATTCATTCAGCAATTGGCATAACTGACTCTTAGCAATAGCTCTGAGAGGTATACCATATCCCTACTGACCTCACTGGGTGTTAACACTGAATCCCAGTGATGAACATTTAAAGTACTGAAATTTAAATGATCTTATTGCTGATCAAAAACATGCAAGAAAGAAGAGGGACAGCAGTCATAGTATGAAGATATGCACAGTACACACAAGCCCCACTGAGGGGAGTCAAGACCAGGAAGCCTACCAGTGCTCAGAAGCTATTTTGAACATCAGCATAAACTACTGTGAGTGGCAACTCATTCTGGTTTGGGATGTAAGCAGAGCTTGGTCAGTACAGTAGGCAGAGTTTAGAAGAGTACTGCTATTTTCCCCCTTCCCATTGATTCATAGTAAATGTCTCCAAGAATCATGACCAGAGATAGAGGATGCATCCATGCCTGTTGGTCCTCCTCTTTCTTTGGATTAGCTGTTTAACATGAGAACCATCCTGTTGGCTCATGGTGAACAAGTCCATGACTAGAGTTTTCCCAACAGCTGCAAATAGTCTTGAATGCAGAATGGGCCAGCTCCCATCCACCCTGCTGGATTAGGGTCTGCTTACACAATGAAGACCACAATTAAAAGAAGGACTAGATCCTAGGTTGGTTTTAGAGTATTCTAGATGTATGATAAACTCCAATGATAAAAGAAGAGAAACACACTTATTTAACTGCAATCTGGACCTTTGGCTTCTAACAACCAGTCATCTAAATGTGGCTGCACTTCAACTCCTTCCCACCGAAGAGCAGTCACTATGAATGGAAGAGGATATGCTGTTATATGCTACTGGGGCTACTTGCTGTTGAAATTCTTGTATCTGGTGGGGGAGGATTGTTCTGTCCAAAGACTTTATCAGTCTGCCTGCCCAGACTGAAGAAGGAGAGCTGAAGGCAGTGTGCCAGAACTCAGGGAACCATGGGATCCAAGTCTGTCTCTGCTTCTGCTAGAAGGTGAAGGAGTGAGAAGGGAGCTGGGAAAACTGGCTCCATCATACCAGGTGAGAGTAAGGAGGAATTGGCAGGGGAAGTGAAGAAACAGGATTGACCTGTTACCATTCCTTGAGCAGCTGAGAGGCCTCCTTTCCCAGGGAAAAGGCAAGAATCTAACTGATGGAATGTGGAGACACTGCATATGCAAGCTGCCATGTTGTACTCTAGACTCAAAGTTCCATTATTTTAAATGAAGAGCCAGATTCACAAAAGGGACAGAGGGGCTGTCAGTGTTGCAGCACCTAACTTTTAGGCACCCTGCCACCTACCCTGAGTTAGGCTCCCAGGCTCCCTGTACAATGCCTGGGGAGAGTTAGGTACCTAAAAAGGGGTTTCACAGATAAAGGGAGCACCACCACTGGCATCCTTTTTACAGGTTTAGGGGTGCTCAGATCAGGCCTCAAAGGCTGGGGCTTAAGCATAAGTAAACGTCTCCAAGTAAGTAAGGTGCCAAGCTGCTGGGAGGTGTCAGGACTTAGGTAGCTGCGCACATGGTCATTGCTGAAATTTAGGCACCTAGAAGATTTTACCAGTGAAAACGTGGGTATCTAGAGACTTTAAGCACCTACAGGGACAGGCAGCAGCTGAGTGGTGGTTTTGTCAGGAGCGCCGCCAGCTTTTCTGCCGCCCTAGGTGGTGGAAGGTCCCGCCCCAAAATGCCGCCCCCCACAGAGGCGGCGGAAGGTCCCGCCGCCAAAATACCGCCACGGTCACCGCCCCCCAAATTGTAGCACCCTAGGCGACCGCCTAGGTCGCCTAATGGGTTGCACCGGCCCTGGGTTTTCTGAATGCCAATTATGCCTAAATGTTGGACTTAGGCACTTGAAGTGAAAGTTAGGCACCTACATTCCAACTGTGAACCTAGCCTTCATAACTGTGCAGCTGCAGTGGGTTGTTAAGTGTGAACGCTGGGAATCTAAATTAAATTTGTCAACTGTTTCAATGCTAACCAAAGCATGCTAGAAAGGAGAGGGAGAATCATGCTATGAAGATTTTACAGTCTGAGACATAGTTCATTTTCCTGTCCTGGCTCGATACATCCTCTTACTTTTCCTAAGCAAGGAGATATGCCTAGCAGAGCTCAGCAGAGCACCGAAGCCCTACCAAGGGGGGAAAATCAAGCCCAAGGAATGCAGAAGAACCCTTGGATGTATCTGAACCCCAAATGAAGGGAAAATAAGCCCACAGAGCCCAGCAGAGTACATATATTTTGATCATATGCACCATCATCTGTGGATGGAGCTTATTTTGCAGACAGATTTCAGAAGAATTCCACTACTCCTTTTTTCTTCCAATTCACACCCTGAGCCCGTAGAAGATCCTGGACCATCAGTCCACATGGGTAACAAGCAGAACAGGCCTCACAGATATCACTATAAGGTCCAGAAACAATTTTATACTCTCCTAGACCACTCCCTGAAATGCTAATATAGCTTGATGGAGGTATAAGGAGACCGGGGTTTCCTACCTCAGCCATTCACTAAGGAGACCTCCATTGGCAAGGAAATGCTTTGTATCTGGAGACTGGCCCATTTGTCTCTGGAGAGATGTCGGAGAAAGCCTACTATGAAGATTGCTACATGAATAGGAGAATATATTTTTAACATGGTCATTGTTCAGTTTTCATCAAGTAACACCAGTGGTCACCCCCATCTCCAAAAAGCTAAAATGTCTTTTCCCAATAACTTTATTTTTAAATCTGAAGCTAAGAAATATGCATCTGATGAAGTGGGTATTCACCCACGAAAGCTCATGCTCCAATACATCTGTTAGTCTATAAGGTGCCACAGGACTCTTTGTTGCTTTTTACAGATCCAGAGTAACACGGCTACCCCTCTGATACTAATCTAGTTTTGTATCCCCCCACCCTCCCACACACTATGAAGGCCATGTATAAAATTAATGGAATAGTAGCTTCAAGTGTAAGAAATGCATGAACATAATCAGTTTCTTAGAGAGACTTATATGTAATGATTAGAGAATTTGACATTAAAATCTTAATTAAGTAAAGAAAGGTGTAAGTTCTAAATTATTTAGCTAAACTCATAATTGAGATTTTTTCCTAAAGCTTTATTAATTGGTTGTTGATATTTTAATAACAGGCTTAATCCTGAGTAACAAACAGGATTTATGGGTGCACAAAGCATGCAAGACCAGCAGGTATATATTATAACACAACACAGAAAGTTTCCTATGTTCAAAAAGAAAACCAATGGCATTAATTCACTATGGGCCTGACCCAAACTCCATTAAAGTCACTGGGGTCTTTCCATTAACTTCAATAGGTTTTGGATCAGGCCCTACAACAGTGAAAGTTCTCTTTCCTTCCTGATTCTACTTTTTATTTTACCCCTTCAGTCTGATTTCAGCCCTTTTCACAAACTCCAGTAGCTATTAAAAATAAGAAGAATCTGTAGCCTCCTACCAATTTCATATTTTGTGCCAGCAACGTTCGCAGTGATGATTCCATTCTTTTTCTTCTTTCTGACTTTTCTTTTAATTGTGCTTTGGTAAGGCAGTTCTGAACTCAAAGTCAGACAAGAGGTTCCTTGGTTATCTTTGAAAAATAATGTTTGTAACAATCAACAATACATAAATTAGCAGTCTCATCTTCATCTCTTGTCTTCACAAACCCCAACTCATCTATTACTAAACGAACTACACAAAAGTGATACATTTAAATGATATTTTGAAACGAATCTTCCAAATGTAAAATAGAATATTAATTTTCAGTACAAATTCACCCTTGGTCACAGAACAATATTAGCATACAAGCTAATGGAATTCATATTGTTCAATTTATGATAACAATACATAAAATAATGCCCATAACTAAAAGAACCATAGTACAAAAGCAATGCGAATTACTAGTCAGTTACGTATTAGTAAACTTTGATTCAGATTGATTAACAGTTACAAGCATGTTGAAACACCATCATTAATGAGCCATATTAAAAATACAAGAGTTCTATAATCAATTTGCCTACCTCCTTCATTAGGCAAGGATGGCATTATAACATGGGGCTGCACAGAACCAGGTGTCCAAATTCTGTTCCAAATTCTCAGAAAACCATGAAGGCCTTCAAAGTCAAATGATTCAAAGCTTGTGTCATACCATTTCAATCTCTGATTATGGTGACTCTCAATTATGGAAGAGACAGGTATCTGCATTAAAAAAGGATTGATTATAAAGGAATAACTGATAAAACATAACTTGTATAGAGGCACATTTAAAACTGTTTCTTCCTTTTGTTTTTGGCAATGTGTGTACCCAAAACTGATGATTAAGCCTCTAAAAGTAAGCAAATTAGCAAAAATATGCCAATTTATTCATCAAAATGCAGAATCCCAAAAGGTAGTTTTCTGTTTAATTTATGGTGAATAAAAACTTTTTAGCTGTCTGTTCTTTGAAAAGGATTTATAAGGTTTCACTTATTACAGTTTGTCTATCTAAGATGTTTACATGATTTGTTATTAGATTCAATAACTCTGGGAACTTTTATCCTCAGCAAAGTGCACTGAATTCCTGGTAAGTTCCAGGAAAATTTCATGGTTTTAAATAATGTAGTACAATATTATGCATGTTCCCATCACCATGAGGGGGAAAAAGTGAGACCATTTGTTGAACGTTTATTAAATCAGTTTCATATAACCTGGGACCACAGACACTAACATGCTGTCACAGGGTGACTGGCCCCTGTGACTGAAGTAGGTCCAGCACACCTGTGCCAGAGCAGGTGTAACCCATTGCATTAATTAAGGGGATGGGACTTTTTCTGGGCTATAAAGGGTCAAAGGGAGTTTCAGTGAGAACAAATCTGGAAGGGAACAGGGATACTGTGAGAAAGAACTCGCTCAGGTAGAATGAGCCACAGAGAGGCAGGAACCAGGACTGCCAGAGTCCTCTGGGAGAGCTGACAGGGAGAGCTCAAGATGTGAAGTGTGAGCTGGGGACCTGTTGTGTTTGTTTGTTAAGATGAATAATAAAACTGCATCAAAGAGAGCATGGGTATAGCAATGAGTCATTTGGCAGCTGGGGAGAAGCCCTGCCTTATCACACATGCATTAATCTTAACTTGTTTGATGCTGCTGCAGATTCAGATTGATCATCCTAGTGGACTATAGCCTTCATGCCATTATGAAAGGATTGACTCAAACTAAGGATGGGGCGGCAGGGAGAGTCAATTCTCCCTAGCAACTGAAAAACGCCCTTTATGCTGATCAGGTCAAAAGCTTTTGTAAGATCTAGGGCAGTCATACAGAGAGGTCTTCCTTGTTCTCAACATTTTTCTAGCAGTTGCCTTAGCATGTCAGCTGCACTGACTCTTTGGAAATACACATTCAGTAAGAACTTGTAATCCGTTGAAAATTTGCTGGCCACCGCTTCCCGCAGCTCCCATTGGCCGGGAACAGCAAACCGTGGCCACTGGGAGCTGCGGGAGGCCGTACAAATGTAAACAAACTGTCTGGCAGCCCGCCGGTGGATATTCCTGACGGGCTGCAGGTTGCCTACCACTGGTTTAGGTTGTTTAAGTGCCTGAATTCTGCATTTACATACTTTAATGTTTATATTTCTTAAGGGTAACCATAACTCAATTTCCTGGGTTTTAATGCTTGTTTTGGGTATAATCACAACCTTATAAAGTACTATTTTGTTTTACCCTATATTACTGATATGTACTTTCTACCTTACCTCCTTCTTAGTTTATTTTTGGCCTGGGAATACTGTATTTATATAACATTTGAAATCTCACATATTAAAGTGTTTTTAAAAATCTGCCTAAACACATCAAAATGCCTGGCAAAAACTTAAAAAAACCAACTCTGAATCAGGATCAAACATTGCCCTAAATATTTTACTACACTGGCAGCATACATTCAGTTGTGCTTCCATATCACAGAAAAAATTATAAGAACAAAACAAAACAAAAAAAAAGCTTTGTTTGGCAAAATGCCCCCCAAAAAGTGATTCAGACCCAAAATTCATGAATTCTGCATGGAAATACAAATAGTTTAAATTGCTTCTATAATTTTTAAGTACTTGAATTTCTTTCATGCAATTATGAATGTGGTTAAAAGTGCTTTGGGATGGCTTTATATATAATTTAAGTATGTTGTATTTGCACAAATGCTTTAAAATAACTGTAAGACAATGTGAAGCACTCCTGCTTTATTTGATTTAAGTCTAGGATAAATGTGATGACAAACTACAGATTTCTAAAGCTGAAGCAATATGCAGATATTAAGTCACACGCATTATACCTCAGGCATACAAATGCAGCAATGCAAAAATACAACAAAGTATATTAAAACATGAAGGCTTTGACACAAAATCAGAAACTTGAAATCAAGTCTGATACTGCCCTTTCCTCAAGCCACAAGTAAACTAAAAAGCAAACCAGTGGCAGTCAAGTGTTGCATTAATTTATACCCTATGAAATCAATGAGCTCAGGGGAGTTGCACGGGATGCAAATCAGAGCAGAATTTGGCCCAGAATATTAACTTTGAGTCCTCTTCCTTTTGTTTGAGATACAATCATAATGTACTTAATCATTTTCTGGACAGGTCAGCATCGGATACTTTTAATAATAAGAAAAAAAAAAAAAAGGGTTGACTTGCAAGGTCACTTCTCAATTCAATGTGGGGATTTATCCTTAAAACTCCTACTAATGCAATGGGATAATAGGAACAGATGGATATAACCAGCCCCAATTAGAGACTCCATTGGGGCCAAATTCTGCTCTGATGTTAGCTGAGCCAACCCCACTGATATCAATGGAGCTGCACCTGCCAACACCAAGGCTGAGATCTGCCTCTATATTTATCCAAGAGCCTAGATAGATTTTGATATATAAATGTATTTTGGCAAAAGTGGTTGGGATGTAAGTTACAGTAGCTCTCACACGCACCCCACAAAAGAGTTTTACAGCATCTGATCTCTGCAAGAAAATCCCCAGTTGGATTGAAAGTGCCTCTTTGGCAATTGATTGTTCTGGGTGAAGTCAACCAAGAAGGTGGCCCAATGATTCTACTGCCAAATGTATACCATACAAAAATTAAAAAGCCCCCACTCCTTTTTCCATTTTAGTTCATTATACATTGGGCAATAGAAAAGCCTCTTTGAAACCACTATTAAGGGAAAATAGCACTGAGTGCACAGTAACATGCTGACTTTCATCTGTTTCTCAGGTTTAGGATATTGTCAGAGTAAGAGAGAAGTTTCATTTCTGGGAAGACAAACCTGAAGCACTTCCGTTGACCAATTAAGAAGCGCACACAAATTCTTGGCAGCTGCTCGTCAGCTATGCTGGCAAAAGGCTTTGAAAATTTGGGGAAGTGATAAGGAGCCTGATATTGCTTCTTGAGAAACACCAGCCTTACTAATACAATACTGTTTTAATCCCAACTAATTACAAGTTGGTAGCCCTTTATTAAATATGTTTTATAAAAACCATCAGAAGGCAAACTGCGCCTACCAAATCAGTTCACACATACAGAAAATATCTTCCCAGAGTTTACCATCAATACATCGGTGTTTTCCACCTGGATCACAATGATTAAATCTGCACTAAATTCTGCCATACTATTATTCCTAATGCATGGATTATCAGGTCCTCTTTTCTGACATGAATCCACATTTAAAAGAGAGAACATACATTCAGAGTGCATCATTTTTGACAAGCCACTGGTCCTTGAGACTGGCAAGCCAGCAGCTGTGTGGAGGCTGTGCCACCAAGATTTGTTATGTAGCCTGGGGGTCTGTGGGACTGCACAGAAAAAACCACCCCTTGCAGATCTCAAGCTGTATGTGGGATCCTTGCTGCTTCTTTGCTCTGTTGGAGCTGTATGTCCCAAGCTGCTGGTAAGAATTGCTGAGGGCTCTGGAGCCAGCACAAAAACCTTCAGCAGAACCATCCTCCATATTCACATAGATCTCAAGCTACCTATGAGATTTGGAGATTGGACATACTGCTTCTACCATGGGAAGAAAACCCCTTGACAGAAGAATTTGGAAGAAACTTTGCCAAGGAACCTCATGGAGTTTTAGCCTGGGCACTCTTCCATGGGTGAGGCACACGCATTTTAAGTACTACCTGACCCAAATTCTGACTAAGGATTATTCTCTTTCCCATTATAAGTGCTCTCTGAACATAAAATGATATTCTCTGTGTCATTTGTTTAGGCACTAATACCTACTTTTTTTTTTTTTTTTGTGGATAGCAAACCCAGTTCTCACTTGTGTTCTGCTTGCAGGAGAAGCCCCAGCAGGTGACAATGTGGTGTCAAGGAGATACATAAGAACGGCCATACTGGGTCAGACCAAAAGTCCATCTAGCCCAGTATCCTGTCCTCTGACAGTGGCCAATTCCAGGTGCCCCAGAGGGAATGAACAGAACAGGTAATCATCACATGATCCATCCCCTGTCGCCCATTCCCAGCTTCTGGCAAACCGAGACTAGGGAAACAATCCCTCCTCATCCTGGCTAATAGCCATTGATGGACTTATCCTCCATGAATTTATAATGTCATACCACTAGGCTTGGAAGGATTCAATTTTTATCAGTGTCAGTAAACATCAATTTCACTGTACACACACAAACTGGCAAAAATATTTCCATAGATAACTAAAGTTTACAGACAGGCAAAATAAGAAAAATGCTACATGAGAACTTCAAAGTTTGATTTAAGGATATTATTTATGCTGTATATTTTGATATGTGATGTTGATAGAGCTGCCAACTTTCCAATTTCTGGAAACTGAACACCCCTGCGGCCCTGCCCCCTGCTCCACCCCTCCCTCAAGGTCCCGGCCTCTGCTCACTCCTTTCCCCTCCACCTTGCATCCAGCCCCGGAACCACCACACTCTCCCCACCCCACCAAGTTACCTGCGGCCTGCCACCATCGCCTCCCACAGCCAGGCTCTTTCTCAGGCAGCCCAGCTGCTGCACTGGGTGGCTGGGCTCTCCTGCCAACCCAGAGCAGAGTGGCCAATGAGAGAAGTGGGTGGTCCTGCCTTCTACTCCCCTGGTACATTTCCAGCTCACTCAGCCT